CGGTATTACATTTTGTAGCTTGTTTTCAATAAGTATATAAATGGTCCAAAGAGGTTGTATTCTACAGTCTGCCTGAATGTAATCATGGCGTAGGTGTGTAGTGTGATTCTGTGTAGTTTATTGATGGCATCCCGTTGGGTTTGACGTCATCTGAACAGGACATCGCACGCTCACTGCTTGATAGCGCGAAGGTCCGTTTACGCCGGTTGTTAAACAACATCGTTATGGGGAAATGCAAGTTTGCGTCCAAATGGTTGGAAGATAAGGAGGAAGGACAATCAATACTGTATATAGTCAATGTGAGGTAAAGTGTGTCGCCAAGGTAACCGGTTAAAACTCCAAGTGGCGATGAGGTCTTAAAATGTATGGGTCTTAAAAGGTTTTACATTTGACTTCAGGATTCCTGTATATACTCTGAACAGACTTCAATGCTGTATTTGAATATGTTTTCTTTTCTTTGGATAGCCCACAATCAATAGTTTAGCAAGAGGGGGGGGCTGGAATATCTGAGCATGAACAACAAAAACAATCGACAGTGAATTATTAGATTTCCCCTAAATATCTGAAACTATTTTGAAGAGTTGCATTGCAATTTATTAAAGATGAGGAAAAAACCTTTTTCTTCAGCTGCTTCAAAGACCGGCAAGCAGAGCACTCTTCAGTTCAAGGCGGTGGGGAAGAAGCCCAAGAAGAGCGTGTCGGACGAGGAGTCGGACGAGGGGTCGGAAGAGGAGTCGGACGAGGGGTCGGAAGAGGCGTCGGACGAGGAGTCGGAAGAGGCGTCGGACGACATGTTTGACAATATGTCCGACGATGAAATGGATTCAGAGGGAGATATCGCCCCCAGGGTCGGTCGCGCATCTAGAGGTGAATGTCAAATATTACTGCGATTACCCTGCACGTCACTTTTCCATCTTATTTAAATCAAAGGCATTTCCTGAGACTAATGAGCTGTTTTAGTTCAAACTGTTATGTTGTGTCTTCTAACCCAAATTCACAAAGCAGGATTGCTAAATCAAACCTTTCTGTTTTTTGTTTGTCAAGCTCCGGTGAAGTACAGCATGTCCAACAGTGAAGATGAGTTTGATGACGTGGGAAAGGAGAGTGCTCCTAAACCCAAACCCGTTATCAGTGATGATGATGAAATCTTTCTCCCGGAGCCAATGGCCGATAGTGAAGTGGACTCTCCAGTCCCTCCTCCAAAAGCTCCAGAACCTGCGTGAGTATAAACGACAAATAACTTGATGTATGACGTTTTTTTCAGTCACGATAATTTACCTTTAACTCGGATTTATCCCTTCGATGCAGGAAGAAAACGGCAAGAAGCAAACCGGCAGCTAAAGCAGCTCAGGCCAAGTCGAGCTGTGAGTATATTAACGACATGTGAGCTGGAGAACTGTCGGGCCCCAGGTCAGAGTTTTAATCATTTCTCTTTGCGATGCTCTGCAGCTCAATCAGATGATGCAGTGCCTGCTCCCAAAGCTCCAGTTCAACGTAAACCCAAAGCAGCCGCCCCGAAGAAACCTGCTGCTGCCAGGAAGCCGGCCGCAAAGAAGTCTCCAGGTATTTGGAGTCAGCCGAATTAGGACTCAGTGTGGTTTATGTCCCACAGATTTAAAGACAGGTTCATGGTGAACTTTTGAATGTTTTATCAACCTTTTCAGAATACTTCATTCGTTGAGTTTGGTGGACGGTTGCTCCATTTTGAAATAGAAAAAAATATTAAAATAAACAATTTTAAGAAAAATGTGCATTATGAGTCTACGAGAAAATAGAATCAAATATTGTAATCAAAATGTTAAAAACTGCATTAAAAGTATAAAATAAATAGAATAATAATATTTGTATTAACAAAAGTTAAGTACAAATGTGTAATAGCAATAAAATAATTATTTAATTTTTCATTAAATGGTACTAATTAGTTTTGCAACACTAGTTTTCCTCATGTGTCATATTTCTGGTTTGCACATTTGGATAGATTGGATACTTAAAGTGCATGATGCCTAAAAGAAAAATGCTTTTTAACCGATCTGCAATGTTATTTCTCCTGTTGATATAGTGCTCGATGTGAGGCAGCCATCCATCATGGATTCTCTCACCAAATCCAAACCGGTATTGACCACCGCTGCCAAGAACTTCCCGTCGTTTGACTCCAGTGACTCGGAGGCTGAGGCCAAAGCTGCAAAGGCCAAAGCTGCAAAGGCCAAAGCTGTAAAGGCGAAGCCCAAGCCCGTTGTCAAGAGGAAACAGGTCCTTAGCGATGACTCCGACGACTCCGACAGCTCCGGTGACCTCATGTCACGTCTGAAGGCTAAAAAAACTGCCAGCAAGGTCAGTGCCTACTCTGAAAGGTCATTAGGGGTTAATTGAACATAAGTCCTGATGTATCTTTATTCATTCATTAGTTCTTTTAGGTCTTTGACACTTTTCGAACTATTCATTGATTTGTTTTATTTAATAGTTAAACATTTTCTCCTTTACTTCTTCCGTAACATTGTGACATCACTATGTAATACTTTAGCTTATTTTGGCTAGTGCTCCAACACATTGTATGTGATTGGCAAAGGCGCGGGACATCTCTAACCAATCACAACAGAGCCGGCCAGCTAACCAATCAGAGCAGACTGGGCTCTGGTTTCAGACAGAGGGTGAAAAGAGGTGCTGCAGCACAGGCAGTATGAGAAAAATAAAGAGCTTGTTGAACATAAAAGCATGGAGGCATGTCCCAGTGGAGGCAATAAATACAAAGATTAACCACAACATGAGCATAATGGGGCCCTTTAATGTTAGACTGGTGGAGTTGGGATTGGGTACCCGAATGGCATATTTTAATTAAAGCTGAATATTTTCTCTTTTCTTGCAGAAAACCAAAAGGTGGGACGAGGACGAGAGCTTCAATATTTCAGACAAGGAAGCAGTGTCTCCCGATGCCACGGCAGTGCGAGAGGTGCCCGCACGTGCTCGCAAAGCTGTCGTCTACAAACTGGACTCGGACTCGGACTCAAGTCAGTTTTAGATTTTGTATTGAAGACAGGTTCTTAGTTAAACTGTTTATGCTGTGTGATTAATATGACGTTTTCTTTCACTTGAAGGATTGCTTTTGGTTTAAAAATACCTGCAGTCCCTAAAACATCTCATTTATTGTGTCATCCTGTCAAAGAAACAAAACATGCTTACTCGTTTGACTGCATTGAACTTGTATGAAAGTCTTTTTTAATGGAATTGTTGTTTAATGGACTTTTTGTAATCCAGTCCTTTGTGTGTTGTCTTGTCCTGTAAATATTTCAATGGCTGTTCTTTTTACATTTAGAAAAATAAAGTTGACTTGTTTGTGTTGATTGTTCATTTTGCTTGGTGTTGTTTCTTCTTTGCTGCTAACAGACTTATCATTTGTCTGTACAAATGAGGTATTCTGTTGGAATGTCATAAGGAAGTGAAAGGATGATAGAAGGGTTGTGGAATGGTGTTGACCCCGCAAAGTTGATAAATCAATTTAGTGAAAATGAAGGCTATTAAACGGCATTTTCCAAGGTATTACATTTTGTAGCTTGTTTTCAATAAGTATATAAACTGTCCAAAGAGGTTGTATTCTACAGTCTGCCTGAATGTAATCATTGCGTAGGTGTGCAGTGTGATTCTGTGTAGTTTATTTATGTCGTCCCGTTGGATTTGACGTCATCTGAACAGGACATCGCGCGCTCACTGCTTGATAGCGCGAAGGTCCGTTTACGCCGGTTGTTAAACAACATCGTTATGGGGAAATGCAAGTTTGCGTCCAAATGGTTGGAAGATAAGGAGGAAGGACAATCAATACTGTATATAGTCAATGTGAGGTGAAGTGTGTCGCCAAGGTAACCGGTTAAAACTCCAAGTGGCGATGAGGTCTTAAAATGTATGGAAAGGGTCTTAAAAGGTTTTACATTTGACTTCAGGATTCCTGCATATACCCTGTTAGAAAAATCTCACTTCTAACAGGCATCAGAATCAGAAACAGGTTTATTACCAGGTAGATTAACGTGTATGAGGAATTTGACTTGATGTCATGTTGCATGTACATAAAAGTAAAACCCAGATAACATTTAAAAAATATAAAAGATAATAACAATATAGCAGTATTTACATAGAAATAAAATATGTAATAAAATAAAACACATTGTGTGCATTAATGTAATGCATAGTCTGAAGTGGCTGAGCCTCAAAACGGGATACATGTATTTATTATTCTTGCAAGAATGGAAGTAGTCGACTCGTCGCACACAAAGCAAACTAGTTCCTGAACAGTGTCCTTCACATGCTGATATACAAGAGGGAGTTACACCGACACAAGATGAAGTACTGATTTAAAGCAGTATACAATGTTTTGTTCAGATTAGCTAAGGCCCACGTCACAAATAATCATGCTCGTCCTATGCCTATCTCCCTAGAGGCTGAATCGATCATCTTAATCGTTGTCTTCTAGCTTATCAAATGCCTAAAACAGTGTGTCATGCTTCTCTTCTAGGTAATCATACATCTTGCTACTGTTATACACTTGGGCCTTTGTTAGCACCTCTGTCCTTTTAAAGAGAACAGGTTTCAGGTAATTGAAATATTTGGATAGGTAGGAACCATTCTTTCCAAATCTATAGGATATAGAGGAATTAGCTTTAAAAAAAACTTCATTTACAGTTGTATTTTTTTCTTATCTAGTAAAATAAAGTCATACAAACAATAGGAAACAATAATTGTATTGAATACATTAAAGTTAAAATCTTGATCTTTAAGCTCAATATAGATTGGCATGTGTATGTACTGCTAACTGGATGAAGTACATGTAAAATGAATCAAAAGGTTGCTTTTCAAGAGTTGCATGTTGTCTAATTTGGCCGGGGAAACTGTTAGTACAGTTCTTCCTGCCATTTAGGAAGCTCTTTGAAATGCTCATCAAGACTTTTCCTTTCTTGAGTAAACATCACTCCTGTCTGGGACTCTTGATGGGTACAGATTAGGACGTAGCAGGCATTTCCTTAACTGTAACCGCCCTCTCAATTATTATACCGGCATACTCCAACAACAGGCCATTTGGGGCAAGTGAGGAATATGTGCCTGTGTTCGAGAGCATAACGCGTGTTTGGACACCAATTTTTTTTTTTTAATCCCTTTTTATCTGAGGACATATCCAAGTGAGACAAGACAATCAAGAAAAGCCGAAATAGGATTTTAAAGGATTGTCAGAAAGGGTAGGTTTCTCATATCTCTGCATTAGGTTAATGAAATCCATTAGACCTAACATGTTGTCATCCATTTGCTTTGTTCTTAATGCTTCTTCTGAGTAAAATGTTTGACTTGTCTTAACTGTTGTTGTCTTCAATGACGTCATGTGGTTTCAACTCTTTTACAATGTCTTTAAGATAAGGTGTGAAACAAAAACCGAAAGAGAAACCTAAGGAGTTTACCTCAGACCTATTTTATTGTTTTATTCCTTATAATAACTGCCTAAATTGCAGTCATTGCAAGAGGTATAATCATGTTTCTTTTATGGTTTCAGGTTATTCAACGTTGAATCCTATCAGCTTTTCGCACATAAACCCTAGACCGACCTTTGACCTTTAGATTGATTGGATTAGATTCAGAATTAGCTGTGAATTGGAGTTAATAAGATACTCTTCAGTTTCTTTCTTTAACCACACAGCTTTTACTCTGAGAAGGACTGTTGGATAAATCTCCAGACTTACAAGAAGCCATACCCAAGACAGCGCTGCAATCATGGGGGAATGGGGCTTCCTCGGTGGTCTCTTTGATAGCCTCCAGGCCCACTCGCCGATGCTTGGACGTTTCTGGCTCTTGTTGATGCTTGTTTTTAGGATTTTGATCCTGGGAACTGTAGCCAGTGACCTGTTTGACGACGAGCAAGAGGAGTTTGCCTGCAACACCCTCCAGCCGGGCTGCAAACAGGTGTGCTACGACATGGCCTTCCCCATCTCCCAGTACAGATTCTGGGTGTTTCACATCGTCCTCATCGCCACCCCTTCCCTGGTTTTCCTCATGTATGCCATGCATCACAACAACAAGAGGACCAGCCAAAATAAGACCCAAGTCTACAGAGAGGAGCTCCGTTTTAGGGGGCTTTACATGATCAACGTGGCCTTCCGCATGTTGGCAGAAATCGGCTTTTTGGTAGGCCAGTGGGTGCTGTATGGATTCAAGGTGGAGGCCCAGTTCCCATGTAGCCGCTTCCCCTGCCCCTACACTGTGGACTGCTTCACCTCCCGCCCTGCAGAGAAAACCATCTTCCTCTGCTTCTACTTTGCCGTAGGGTTGATATCAGCGATTTCCAGCTGTGCAGAACTTTTCTACGGCTCCATCAAGTGGTTCTGCTGCTCACGCCCGCCGACCCCGGAGCTCCAGAACCGTGACAACTTTGAGAAAGAAGAAAGGATCGTGTCGGAGAGCCTGCGCGGCAGCATGAGGCATAAAGGAGGAACAGTGAGGAGCAACACGAGTAGGAAAAGCTCCAGCATTGGACACAAAAGCAGGGGTGGCAGATATTTGAGCAGCAAGGCATTCATGGTGTGAGACAAACTTGATTCGTTATGTTGCAATCACTTGTTTTTACTAAATGTTATTATTATATTACTTTATGGCATTTCACATAAATGCATCTCACTGTTAATGGTAGAAGGAGACATCATAAGGAAATGTTTATGAGACAGTCATAAGAGAAGGAAATGAGCAAAGACGAGAGAGAACTGATTGAACGTTGAACACTTGATGACTTGTTTGGTCTCATGAATCATTACAGACCGTAAATACTTCAGGAGGGGAAACAACAGCATTAAACTTGATTGAGTTGTTTAACACTGATTGTCCTTTGTTTGAAAGAGAACTGATTGTACTTCCATCAGACACCCTCTTGATTGAAGTCAAAATCTGTACATGAAGGAAAATGTAAATGAAATTAGGGATGTCACAATATACCATATTGACAAGCCTGATATTTAAATACACAAATAATGTTTGATACACACACTCATTGTGTATGCTTTTGTACAGTTAGGTTTAAAAACTTTCTTTCCACCTCTCTACACTTTCGAGAAAAGAGATTTAAACGCACAATGAGTAAAGGCTAAACATGGTAGCGTTTTATATTTTCTTTGTTATTTTTTTTTACATTCTTATACACTTTTAGCCATTATTGTATCTCATGAAGTCCCTAAGTGACACACCCTGAACAGTCTGGTGGGTCAAGGTCCAGGTCATTTGATTGTGTGTTCCCAAAACAACATGTCCAAGATGTCCATGTGCCAGAATAACATATGTGACAGGACTACCTACATTTCCAAAGCTTTTTTGTTTGTTGCTAAAGGTCAAATTCAAGCCATTTAATAATTAAAATGCTTACATAACATGTCCTTTATTACATTAACCTGTTGTGGAAACATTTATTGATTAAATTGATATGAAACAAATTAGATAAACATTGCTGTGACACTGGTGTCACATCGGGACTTTAACCCTAAGCTTTCACAGTAAACTCTTGAACAATTAGAAATATTATTATGATCTGCTCAGTTAATTTAGCTGATTCAATTATATTTAGTTAATATATTCTTTATTCTTCAATTCAAAGAATGTTCAAACTAATTTAAACAAAAAATCATGCTCATTAATGAAGTTATACATAAGAGTTACCATTAAAGCCCAATGTGACATATATGTCAAATTTCAGATATTTGACACTAGGGGGGCCTACTTGTCAGAAATGTGTTCCATGTGGTCCATTTAGTCTAAATTATGTTCCCCTTCATTTTCCCAAAAGTAGAAATGGGTCCGGGTTCTTATGGGTTAAATGATCTGCTTTCTTACTGACAGTTTAAAGCGGCTCAAGGGCACTCAGTAGCCAAGTAGCTTAGCTTAGACTGAAACAGGGAAACAGCTACTTTAATTTGATCGATAGCTACCTATCAACACTTTATACAATATTGGCTATCTTTTCACTTGTGTTACCCACACAAAACTAAAAATGTGTAAAAACTCTGTTTTACGGGTTCTAGCCAATCTCTGCTATCTGCAGCTAGCTGTTAGCCCTTTCGGTTTTGTGCAAAGCTAAGCTACATTGGAGAGTCATATTAATATATCTCAAGAAGAAAACAAATTCGATTATTTCCCAAGATGTGAAACTTTCTCTTTAAGTGTGGTTAGATGGTGTGACCACATATTATATAATGAGGCATTAACATATCAGTTAAGGAATTATAAGTTTAGCAGCACTGGTTGCTCAGGTTTGACATTACCTCCATGTATCTTTAACATGACCATAATTCATGGGTTATATTTCTTGTAATGCTATACCTTATAGGCCTACACTAATTTACTTTTGCCATGGCTGGATAGTTTATTGGTACTATATGAGTACAATGCATGTGATGAAGTAGGCTATGGTGACTTTCACACAGCTTGTTTCTGATTATTATTATTATTATTATATATAAGAGACTGTTGTTGCTTCATGTCAGAAACAAGCTGAATGGCATTGTTGCTTTGTTCCTCCTGCACAACGTTAATTCCATTGCATTGTAAATGTTGTCCTACCTACGATGAAAAAGACTTCAATCAAACCTGCCTCATATTATCACGTTTCACCTGCAATGCATGAATATTAAAGTTCCCCTCCTGTCAAAAATGTGTTTTCTTATCGTTGCTTCACTTTGCTGTTTGGAAAGAGTTTCACACTGAGGTGGTTTTCACTTTCAATGGAAATGTTTCAGCCACAACATAATATTATTTTGAGAAGCTTTTGTACAAGCAGGATTCGTGTCACAATTTGTTTGCTTGTTTTGTTTTCAGAAGTTAGAATATTTGCAAAGAGGGAAAAGGAGTACATGGGCTTTTAGACATTTAACTAAAATATCTTAAACCTTTGCAGTACAACATTATGAGGAAAATCCATCTTACACTCTGATTAACCCTAACCCTAACATTTTCTTACAAAACATTTTTGTAAGAAAATGTTGAGATAACACAGTATTAAGCAAATAATCTTGCTTTAGCAGCACCCCCCATCATTCTCATCTGAGGTGCATTTTTTCTCCAGCAGGTGGCAGTGGTGGATCAGGAAATTATTTGAACTATTAGGCTTTCATTTCCAGTAAGATGACTTCATTTACAGCCAAAATATCTCACTGACAGTATTGCCAAGTTTGACTCACCAGAGGCAGATATTTTTTCTTAAGACCTCTGCATGACACCACTGTTGTTATTTAATGTACATTATCAAGCCAATTGAAATAACAATTGAAGTTCTTTGTTCTTTAATGATTAATGTAGTGAGCAAAAAGGCAATTGTTGTTTGAAGACAGATCCAAGAGGCTCATCTAAACACAAAGCTATCTAAATACTCTCCAAAGAAGCTTGTTTTTGACTCAAAAGATCCTCCCAGAAACACACACACCTCCTGCTTTGCCCTGGACGCATCATATATGCAGATTGCAAAGCGGTTCAGGCTCTTTGATGTGCATGGAACAGAATTCTAGATGTGTTTTAAATAACTACTCAAGAGGGAAAGGAAGGAAGAGGATTACCGTCAAACTTTCCCCGTTTCCTTTTGTCTGCCTGCGTCGCCACGTTTCCTTGTCAAACTGGAAGTATTCCTGTTTCTGACTTCCTATGTCATCTCCCTCAGAATCTCTTTGTGTTTCTTCCTTTTTCCATACATCACTCTGTCTCTTCTGGATCAGGGGAGGCCTCGCTGCTGGAGTGTATCTCAAAGAAAATGTAGGTCATCTGTTTTCACCGACTCCCTTCACACCAACACGGAGGAGGAGATGGAAGTGATAACATCTTTATTTGCGTCTCTCCCTCCTCCTCCTCCTACTCCTTTTTCAATGTTCCCTTCACCTTCAATGAGACACTTCAGGGGCTCCCTGTGCTCCACCTGTGTCCCCACTTTGTGCCTTTGAGGCCCTCTCTGTACACACCTAGCTGACTGACAGCTCCACAAACTCTCTACATCTCACTTTCTGCTAAGTCATGCAGGGATGATACCTGACAACCTTAGCTTTCTTGCTTCAAACATTAGCAGCTCACTCCGTTGAATTACTGTTTGATTTGCTTTACTTGCGGCACAGTGCCAGACTCTTAGCAAATAAAGCTGCTTATTTACTGGCCTGGATAATCTTGTGACTCAATAAAGACGATTCAAGATGAAGTTAGGAGCAACACAACTGACTTTCTCTTGATGTTTTCATCATTTCCAAGACAGTTTCCTGGAAATATGAATGTGTGACTCATTTCAAATAACACCATAATACCATTTCCTGTCGAAGTATACAAGGTAAGTGCAGACTCATTTGTAAAGTTAAAAAACAACAGGAAATTATACAACAACGCTAAAAGTGGTAGCTGATTTCCAGATGAATTCCCTTGAAAGATTGAATAATAATAATAATAATAGCTTCGATTTCTATAGCGCCTTTCAGGGGACCCAAGGTCGCTTCACAAGTAATAGTGCAAAGACAAACATAACAAAACAAAAGACAGACAAACAGAACAACAGATCGATTTAGGGGCCGAAAGCCTTGGCAAACAGATGGGACTTGAGGGCCCTTTTGAAGGCTTCAAGTGTGGGGATGTTGCGTATCTCCGCAGGGAGAGCGTTCCAGAGGGTGGGGGCTGCCACACTGAAGGCTCTGTCCCCATAGGTTCGCAGTTTGGTGCGGGGGGTGGTAAGCAGGCCAGAGTCTGAGGACCGCAGGTTCCGGGGTGGGGCATGTGGGTGAAGGATGTCCGATAGGTACTGGGGGGCAAGGGCATGGAGGGATACTTATTGAGAAAGGTTTTATTATTATCGGAAATATTACTCTTCTTATTTGTGGTATTGTATGCTTGCCTGAAATAACCTCTTCACCACTTTTAGCATCAACCGCCTGGAAACATTCAAATTAGATTATGCTGCAATACGGTTGCATTATTCAAGGTTCAAGGTTCAAGGCTTTTATTAGTCATAAGTACATAGCTACAGTGTAATTATGACGATAAAATCTTAGGTCACAGGCTGCTCCAATAAACACAATAAAAACAGAAAAACAGTAAAAAATTGTAAATACAAAAATAGTGAAATAGTGCAATAAGAGTCTATATACAAGTGATTGGAATATGATATATTAGATACATAATTTGTAAATTGCAGCCAGATGAATGTTATGGATGTTGTTTCAAAAGTTCAGGTGTTTTAATAGTCTTATTGTGGGATGAAACTGTCCCTGAGTCTGGTGGTTTTAGTCCGGATGCTGCGGTACCGCCTGCCAGATGACAGCAGACAGAACAGTTTGTGGCTAGGGTGATGGGGGTCTGAACACTGTATCCATTTTACCCACATAATCACAAATACGAGGTGCAGGCTCGTGTCGATCTTCCAGTTTCTCCTTATCTTATCTTAGTATGTATCTTAACCTTTAGGCACCCATCAGCTGCACCAAACAGCAGACAGTTTAATAATCTTGTGAACACAGTGAAGCTTTGAGCAGCTAAAGAGCGAGATATCTCCCTTAGATTAAGAGACCAAAAACAGAGCCAAAAGAATGACCGATGTTCATTCTCCATGTGAACAGAAACACCTAAATAAATTACAATGTTTCTGCCGGATGCGTACATAAACAACTGTTTGCTAACATGTATGCAATGAATCCATCATTTTAAAAGGTGACCATATCTATGTCAATGTTTTGTTCTGACCTTGTTTCTGCTGCATACAAAATTGTAATTGCAGTCTTTTTCATGTAGATTACTGTCCTTTCGTGGTGCATATCGCCAAAACAAATTAGCTTAATAATGGGTTACATTTAATTGGGTCAGGATCCCA